TTGTTTTACCATTTTATTATCTTTATCGGTTTCCGATATAGTAATATTATCACATCCAGTTTAAACCCTGAAACATCCTATACATATATTTAGTTAAAAAAATAACCAAGTTAACCTTTTACTTAACTATTACTTTGATAAAATACCTTTTAAATACAACCTTAGTGACCAAATATATTTATTTTTTACACAGATGTGATTCATAAATAAATTTGTGATTATTATCGACCTAAAATCTTACTATTTTTTCATAACACTTTCTCGTTAACATTTGTCTCATAAATTTCAGGTTTATAATCATTATGTCTTGCATTTGTAGTTTATTGAGGACAGGTTCATAAAAAGTTATGTTTGATCATTGTATATATATATGTATATTAATGTTTGGCAGAAGTAGATATTTAATAACTATAATTTGCAAATTGACGTCAATGTTTTAGAAAGAATGTGTATAGTTAGGACTAAATTAATACATACATGTATTGTGATTAAAAAATGACATATTTTAGTAAAAGTAATACATGTATATGTTAGATATTTAAATAGGAAAAGTTTTCTGAAGATATTTATTTTATAGATTTTTCACTTAAAAACTTATACTACTAGGTCTATTTGGAAAATAACTGATTTTTTTTAATTACGCGCTAATGGAGATATTCAGTTATATGCGGTTGGCAGCAGTTGTGTTGCGCATAACCTCCTCTGTAACCACATGTTTTTGGATTGTTGATATCTTGTTTAGTTTTCATGATATTATTATTTGAGTGTTTAAGTATGACGATTTTCGAAATGTGCAATTTTCTGGAACAACTACGCAACGTAAAATTTTGGGAAAAACTTTCACGGAAATGTTTCAACTTTTGAAACAAGCTTACGAAGATGATGCTCTAGGTCGTACGCAATGTTACGAATTGTTTTCACGATTTAAAAGTGATCGTCAGTCAGAAGATACTCCTCAACCAAGAAGGCCTTCGACTTCAACTGAGGACACCAGCGTTCAGAAAGTCTGGCGCGGGCAAATCGCCGATTGACTGTCAGCTTCTCAATTGGGTGAGGCCATGAAATTTTGACTAAAAAATTGAACATGCTTCGAGTTTGTTCCTCGTTTGATGACCGAACAACAGAAAGAAAATCGTGTGGACGTATGTCGGCAATTTCTTGAACAATCCAATGACGACAAAACATTCATTCAAAGGTTCATAACGGGAGACGAAAGCTGGGTTTACGGCTACGGCATTGGGACAAAAGGTCAATCATCACGATCTCATCTCATCAAAGAATCTCCACACCAGCACGTCAGTCTCAATCCAATGTTAAAGTGATGTTCACAGTTTCTTTTGACTTTGATGGAATTGTACATTTTGAATTCTTGTCTCAAGGTGAAACAGTCAATCCTGTGACTATCAAGGCGTTTTACAATGGTCGCTTGAAAAAATCCGCAAAAAGATACAACTCATGGTTCTTGCACCATGACAATGCGCTCGCACACTCAGCTTTCTCGATTCGTCAGTTTTGTGCCAAAAATCAGATTACTTCTACACCCTCCCTACTCGCTAGACCTTATTTCCGAAATTAAAATCAGAGCTGAAAGGACGCCGTTTTCAGAATATTGATGACATCAAAGCAAAGTCACTTGAAAAGCCATTTCAAGTTAAGCTATCCAGAACTGTTTCGCGAAATGGAAACACCGCTGGTAAAAGTGTGTGAATAGTGGAGGGGTGTACAGTTAAATCTCCCTTGGACGGACACCAACGGGACCGACTGAAAGTGTCCCTTTAAGAGGGGTGTCCGCTTAAAAGAAATAAGAAAAAAAATCGTTTTATTAATGAAAACTGTAATTAAAGAAATTGGGACATTTAAAACGTATATGTATGTAAATGTTTTTTCTTTAAAATGGCGTTCAGAAATCGTATTTCTAATTTTGAAAGAAGCTCTAAATGTTTAAGCTAATTGGTTACGATACCATAATTTCACCATAATTTGGTACAGCCTCTGTTGGTACTGGAACCTCATCGACATAAGAATCTTCGGAAAATTCTTGTATTTCAACAGGATTTTCAATTTCTAGTTCTGAATCTGGATCTTCAACATACAAATTTTCATCTAGGTTCAAAAAATCATTAACGTTTTCATTATCAGTCGATTCCAAAAAATTGTTATTTTTGGATCAGATGTAACATACTCAGTTAACTGATCTTCACTTAGCATATTTTCATGGTTAAATTCTGCTTTACGGAAGCAATTTTTAACTGTTTCCTTTTTATTTTGTTTTTTAAGAGAATATTTTCTTGCGTTGTGCGTCCGTTCAAGGGAATGTCCGTCCAAGAGGGAGTTAACACAAGGTAGCTCAAACTACAAAAAATATTTAGTTGTTAACCACCCCCAACCCCCCGAAACCACCCCCAAAGGTCGGGGAAGCAGGTAACAGGCTGTATTGGTGGATTGCCAAACCGAAATATTTTCCTTCTGTAGTGGGATCTATAGCTACCCACACCATCACTAGGCTCGAGCCTTCAACCCCCTACCACTCCCCCCTCTCTCCCGCTTTCACACCTACCAAAGACAGCTATGTAGCTTATTACTTCTTACTAGTTGTGAACCCAGTTGATCGTGCATTTCAATCTACAGCCATTGAGACCATCACTCACACGAATCTTCAAAAGCCCTATAATTATACCCCCACCCCCAAACCTCACAATACCACCTCCTACCAAAGCCCGCACGGTATGATTTTACCGCGGTATTACAGGTTATGAAACCATTTGATGATGTATTTTGTGTCACAGCGTTTTAAACCATCAGTACACAACCCCATTCGGCCCCTGAATTATACCCCCATCCCAACCCTTCAAACACAACCCCTTCCAAAGCCTGCCAAATGACTTTGTACATCTCAGTGGTTGTGAAACTATATATTATCCCTCGGTGATCATCACTAGACACGACTCTTCGACCATCGTAATACAACCCAACCCCATACACCTTACGACTTTTTACTGCTTACTGGTTGCAGTTACTAAGCAGTGAAAAGTCATAATTCAGGCTTTGGTAGAGGGTGGGATTGAAAAGTTGAAGGGGCTGGGTGTGATACGGGAGTCGAAAAGTCATGTGTAGTTTAGGTGATTTATGTCGCTGTGAGATGAAAAATGATTTCACAACCCGTAACATGTGTAAAGCCATGTGATAGGCATGTGGTAATGATTTAAGTCGCTGTATATGCTTTCACGACCCGTAAGATGTCCAAAGCTATGAAGCAGACGTGAGAAAGGAATGGGTTTGTGGGGTCTGGTGGGCTGGAAGTTTACTTGTTGAGGGTTTGAAGGGTCGCGGTCGTGTGTAGTGATGATTTTAGTGAATGTGCAAAAAAATACATAGTCAAATGATTTCGCAACCAGTAAGCAGTAAAAAGTCGTAAGGTGAGCTTTGGGGGATGGAAGGTTAAAGGGGTGGGGTTGTATTACGAGGGTCGAAGGATTGTGTCTAATAATGGTCACTGAGGGATAATATATAGTTTCACAACCCATAAGATGTGCAAAGTCATTTGACAGGCTTTGGAAGGGGTTGTGTTTGAGGGGTTGGGGTGGGGGTATAATTCAGAGGCCGAAAGGGCTTGTGTACTGATGTTTTAGATTGCTGTGAGATAAAATACACCATCAAATGGTTTCATAACCCGTAAGACCGCGGTAAAACCATACCGTGTGGGCTTTGGTAGGGGGTGGTATTGTGAGGTTTGGGGTGGGGGTATAATTGTCGGGGTTTTGAAGTGTCGTGAGAGGTGATGGTCTAAGTGGCTGTAGGCTCGAGCCTAGTGATGGTTTGGGTAGCTATAGATCCCACTACAGTAGGAAAATATTTCGGCTAGGCAATCCACCAATATAGCCTGTTACGTGCTTCTCTGACTTTTGGGGTGTTGGGGGTGGCTTTAGAGCTTCGTGCTCATTGAGACTTTTGATCGACGTGTTGTGAATTAAAATTTTTCAGTTTCAAAAAAATTGACAGAAACCAATTTTCCATAAAAACGTGCGTGGTCCGTTCGATGTATTGATTTAACATGAAAATTCAATAGGGCGTTCAGAAAATAAAACAGTTGTTTATAAATTATATCGTTGTATTCACAATGATTTTAAGTTTAGGTAGCCGTATGAGAAAACAACAAACCAATTTTTTAATTGTATTTTAGGGTCTAAGTGAAATATCTCAAAACTGATTTCAAAACAGATTCGGGAAAAGATTTTGTATCTTTTTTTAAATGTAAACCATCTTGTATCTCTAGAACGGAACTGTTCTAACTCGTAATATGACGACATTTATTTAAAGGAAAATATGTAATATAATATACTACTGGAAAAAATTAAGGGAACAAAAAAAATCTGAAAATGTTTTTTGACAAGCTGCATCTCAGTGAACTTTTTTTTTGTAAAAAGATCTCGAAATTAGAGCCTTGCAGCTTCAAACTGCTTTTTATCTTGATACTACCATTTTTCACTAAAATACAGCCAATTTCTGATTTTCTCTTTGTTCCCTTAATTTTTTCCGTAGTGTATTTATTACAGAAACATTAGATGGCTGTACACTGCTATATTTCCTTAAGGAGTTGCAGGTATCAACTTAAACGTGTAGGTGTCTTCAAATTTGATTTATTTAAGTCTCCAAATAGAAAATTAAAAAATAATTATTATTTTCCTGTACCTATATTGAAATTCAATTACTTAGACTTTTAAAAATTTTACTGATTCATAATAAATATGAGTGCGCAACTATCATACTCAATATGTTTTTAACTAATAATAATATTCCTTATTCGAGTATTTCTAACGCTTCCGGTGATGCCTAATTGTGAAATTTGCTACCGTTACGGTATATGATGCGAAACCAGTTCTGCAGTATTTCTGGAGTAGGCGTATAACCTTTTTAAAATTTGAGGATGAACCTATTTTTTGTTCATAATCGTATCATATATATTAAGTCGAATTGTTTTAGAGTCAGTCTCGTACAGATACTCTTCCAAATATAAAGTCAGGATGTTGAAGTTGGTAAGAACTAATAACTACCACATATTTTCTATAAAATTCATGCAGATCTCTTTATCTTTTCAAGCTGTATATTAACATTAGCAACAAATTATTTTGGCAATAGTTTTTATTCAGAAAATCATTAAGTTTTAAATTTTTGTCAAAAAATGTTGAAAATGGCAAAATACAGAAATATACTTACATAAAGAAGAATTTATTGTTTATTATTCGGTTGTAGAGAATTTTTATTATTATTTTTTTGAAGAACATTTTTAATTTAAGTATAAATTACTTACTTCTTGTTACTACAATCATCGTTTAAATGAGTTTTTGTGACTAGATTTTAGTTTAACTAAGTTTTTTGTATATAGACTACTGAAAATGTGTTATTAAAAATTTTTCAAATCAAAAACTGATTCTAAATTCAATTTATTTCAATTTCCTATTTGGTTAACAGATACATAAACTGAATTAAAAGAAAATAAAGGCCTTCTTTGTGTGTACATTTTTTACATCACTGGTCGGTTCTGCAATAACTTGCTGAAACTAAATAAACTTTGTGTTAGCTACGCTTAATTAACGTATTTTAGTTTTTCTGAGAAAAATGTGCAAACACTAAAAACTCATTTATGTGAAAACAGTGAACATAAACAATCAATATTTAAAAAAATGTAAAAAATCTCATCAATACTTTAATAGGTATTGTTTTAACATTTACATTTTGAGAAAAGAACAATTTTTTTCTTGACGAAAAATGTCAAATTATTCTGTTATAGAAAATCACGTGATTGCTTGTCTGCACTACATTTGGCTTTATTACCGAAGCTAATACGTTTGACAAAGTAATATTTCTGAAAAACCGGTTGATAAACATTTTCCATATGATGAGCAATGATTACATTATTATCGACTGTAATATTTGTTATCATCTACATAATACTACCTACATTGTTCATGATGTGTAAATTTCAAAAACAGAGGATCGTCTGCAGCGCGTACTGGGCGGAGCCATTTTACTCGCTACGTTACGTTCGACAAAACTTTCTTGAAAATGAATGACTTACATTTTATTTGATTTTAGTTTTTAATTCAATGGCTCAATTTCTAGATCTTTCTGTCTGCTCTGGTAGCAACTGTTACTCCAGCTACCTTCCCTGGTGCTCTTCGCCAATATTCAACTAAGCCACCAGTATTCCCAGCACCATTATCAAGGTACAGTCCACTACCTTCACCTACGTACAGCCCCCAACCATATGGAAAATTCATCGCCATTCTTCGGTCAGAAAGTGATATTGCCCCTGATGGCAGCCAGTATCATTATGCGTAAGTGTATTTATTATTCCTTTACTAATTCGTAATTCTGCCGGCTCTTGTATATACAGGGTGTCCGGAAGTGTCATACTAAAAATGAAGGAATTTACAGGGGAGGTCAAAATAGTTATAGTACTTCATAAAAGCATTTTTCTTATCGGACTTTGTTGTGGAGTTATTCGCCTTCAAAGAGAGAAGTTTGAAAAACAAATTCCAATTATAACTTGTTACCATGACAACAATGAAATTTGGGCAATTAAAGTAACTCATGGTAATGTTCATTTCCAAGTTTAAACTGATATTCAACATGCCTGGATTATACAGGAGTAGACGAAATTATCCATTTAAATTTATACATCTTTGACAGCGTTGCCAAATTTGGCATTTTTCTTTTATAGTTCGATTCCTGTTTCACTTTGCTAAAAAAGGTATTATATCAGTCGAAACAATACAAGATGTATTGTTTTGAGAAAATCGAATTTTATTAACATAAATGTATTGTATTAAAAATGCGATATTAACATTTTTGTAAACATCTTGGTTTTTATGAAAATTGAGATGACTGTCCACAAGTATGTATAATTTGCAGTTAGATATTTGTCACAAATCATTTTGACACCACTTGTTGATTCAGTGTCATGGAAGATTTTAGCTAGGAAGAATTTGCAGATATTCATCTAATGTACGATTTTGCAGAATGTAATGCTTCTGAAACTGTTCGGATTTACGCCAATCGTTTTCCAAATAGAATTTGCATGTTTGAAGTGACAAAAACCCCTATGCTATTATTCAGACAAAACACTAACAAAAATTTATCATTAATGTATGGATACAAATAGTTGAAAACTACTTAGTGGGATCATTGATGACACTTTAAAGGCCAATTCCCACATAGCAGCGCCGCAGCAGCGCGGCGCGTCGCTGCAAATGCTGCTCCTAAAAATATCCATAATTTTAAATGGAACAGTTCCCACATAAGCAGCACAGCGCGGCAGCAGCGCAGCGCGTCAAAATTCAACGCCTCTGAGAGCGTTCCTTGCTGCTCTGACCTTCGTCGCGCTGCCAAGTGGACATTAGGAAGCAGCAAACACTGCTGTGTCTTCGGCAAATCTCGATACATATCGCTCACTATTTGGCTGTGGGAGAGGTACCAGACGTTTCGCGGTGACTGTTGGACTTTGTAATCACTAATTATATGTAGTTAGTAAATGCAGGTAGTTTGATTTTGTTAGAGTAATATAAAATTACTGACAAAACTCTACATTTCTAAGTAGGATTAAGGCAATATTAATAAATTATATATCTAGGATATCACTAGACGAGGAACTCGACATTTTGAAAATAAAATACGTTCGTTCTATTAGATAGTCGGAACACTACTCTTCTAAAATATTAACCGCTGCGCTGGTGCTGCACTGCTAAGTGGGAATACCTACCAAGCTTTTGCATCGCAGCGACGCTATGAAGCGCTGCTGCCGCGCTGCTGCGGCGCTGCTATGTGGGAATTGGCCTTAAATGTGGATAAATACTTACATTTACTGCAAGAACACCATAACCCTTTATTAGAAGACGCCCCTTTAAATATTTGAAATAACATGTGGCTTATGCCCGATGGTGCACCAGCCCATTTTAGCAGGTCAGTAGGGGCTTATTTAAATACCACATTTCCTGATCGATGGATCGGTCGAGGTAGTCCTTTTCCGTTTATCAAACTTCTATAAATAGTAGAGAAGAATTATTAAATCTTTTAATTACATACGCTGATATCATTAGAAATGATTGCCACATGTTATTTCGAGTTCAGCAGAGGTGTTTGAGTAATTTCAGAAAATGCATTGAAGTTCATGGTGCACATATTCAACATCTTACTTAATAGTTCTCATTTTTCTTTTAATTCTATAGAAACCAAGATTTTTACAAAAGTCACATTTTTGATACAATGTTAATAAAATTCCATTTTCTCAAAAACGGTACAAGATATTGACTGATAGCAAAGTGAGAGAGGAATCGAACTATGAAAGAAAAATGCCAAATATGGTAACGCTGTCAAAGATGTATAAATTTAAATAGATAATTTCGTCTGCTCCTGTATAATCCAGACATATTGAACATCACTTTAAACTTGTAAATGAACATTACCATGAGTTACTTTAATTGCCCAAATTGCATTGTTGTCCTGGTAACAACTTATTGTTAGAAGTTATAATTAAAATTTGTTTTTCAAAATTTTTTCTTTGATATAACAATAACTCCACAACGAAGCCCGAAAGGAATTTTTTTTTTGAAATACTACAACTATTTTGACCTCCCCTGCATTTTTGACATGACCTTTCGGGACACCCTTACATATAATATATTTTTGATATTTTATTGTTGATGTTTATTGTAGCTCTGAGAAACTTGTCTAACTGACCCTCACGTTGTCTGAATAAATTGAATTTATCATTGACCACAAACAGTTGAGCTGTCCCGCTCAGTTAACATTTATTTTGCAAATGATACTTGTTATCATATAGACATGTAGGTCGTTCGCTTCCTCCAAACAACTAGATAATCTAGATTTTGGACAAGATCACCGTATCACACACCGACAATGTTTAAGAATGGCTGCAATTGAGGTGAAAGGTGTAAACTGATCTCCAACGGATCATAACTATTACATACATTTTATGTTTAAGTTTACTACATTTCAAATGTTACAAATTACCTAGCCCCAATTTTAATGGTCAATCGTTTCGTAAAAATGAATGAAACAAGTCAGTCATGTGTATATGTACTATGTGCTAATACACTATATGGCTCTGTCCATTAGTGTTGCTTGAATCAGAACAACAGATTTTATAAATACGATTGTGTTCATTTTGAGAGTTTACAAAATATAGAAGCAAGATCGGCATTATTATACAAGTGAACAATCGTTAATTAAGGATTATTATTTTTGTATTGTACAGTCAATTGCGAAATATAAATGAACAAAATCAGATCACCCTTGCACAAATGAAAAGCATTTTTGTACTTTTACTGCTCATATTTGCTTTCTAAAAACATTAATTTACAGACCTTATGTTTCATTGGAAATCTTTTCTTCAACTTATCCTCGTCGAAAAAAGAAGAAATAAATGAAGTTATACATATCATATCTACATCATATGTATTTTCTTATAGCTATGATACCGAAAATGGGATATCCACCCAAGAATCTGGAAACTTAGTGGTGGCTGGTTCAGGTTCCGCTATTGCAGCTGCAGGATCTTACCAGTACACATCCCCCGAAGGAGTACCTGTACAAGTTTCTTACCTTGCTGATACAAATGGATTCCAACCTTCTGGAAACGTATTACCAACCTCTCCACCTATCCCTCCAGCAATACAGAGATCGCTCGACTATATCGCGGTTCATCCCTCATCCCCTTCTGTTGGCACCCCATTTGTCAGAAAATATTATAAGTAGAATGTTCCAAAAGTTATGTTAAGTTAATTACTTAGAAATATATATGGTTGACTCAGAGTTGCTCTTTTCATTTTTAGTGATTAATTACATAGCCCCAAGTTCTGTGCCAGAGATATGAGTACATAGATTTTGAGTATTTTTTTTATGCTGAATTCGAATCTGCAGCCCAAAAACTGATCTACGAGAACATTTTTTTAGTAAAACGCTAAAATATCCCCTAAAATAGGGTAAAAAAGTGAGGATAAGTAAAGATTTATAATGAAAATAATTTGTAAACATTTTGAGAAAACATTTGAAAATATTATTTTGAGCATTGGAAAGAAATATTATTCAACCCAACGCTACGAAGGTGTTAATTTTTACGCATTAGGCGGTTGCGGTCCCGTCCCGTCGCGGACTGTGCTAGTTGCGATCGCGCGCGGTAGATTTCCTTCCCATGTTTTTGAATGTATGCATTCGCATTAGGCTTTCGCGAGCTGGTCGCGGTCGCATCGCGTTTCCTACCGATCTTCTCCAAAGAATCTCGGGAGCAAGGGCGTCGCCAGTCAATGGGCTATGGGGGGCAAGATAAGAGAGAGCATGGGAGAAATATAAATTATAGGTAGAAATATGTATAGTGAATTAATTTTTTATAGAAATATTTTTAATAAAACCTTTTTAATACAAGAAAAACAAAAAAATATATAAATATCTAAAAAATAAAGAAATTCAACGAAAATTAGGTAAAACATAATCTTTTCGGATTTTTTGAGAATTTGTCGTCCACTTTATTAATAAAATCTTCATGGTTGTCAAAAATAAGCTTTCTGTGTATACTCATCATTGCTAGGCCATTGAGACGATTTTATACCATAGTATATTTCTCAACCAGGTTTTTATTATTCTGTACTTCTATTTTTTATTCCCCCTATATAAAATTGGTACGTTGCATATGTGTGTCCCACTAGTGCGGGAAAGTCCAATATCTATGTTAAAATGAGGAATATATGGATTTTTCTTTTTATTGTGTTGCCACATTTCTCGGAATGTACAAATTAAAAATATATTCAACTATACAGAGTGTTCCACTTTTCCCGGACAGACACCAACTTTGGTTTTTTAAATGGAAACACACATTTTTTATATTTTTTTCGGATTCTACATCAAAAATAAAGGGTACTTTGTGTAGAATAGTTCTATTCAAATATTCACAGTTTTTGAGATATCTCGCTTGAAAGGTTTTTCTAGTCGATATTGGTTGCTTACATTTTCTGATACTGACAGGTTATACTAATAGCTACTAAGCCCATTTTTTTATCAGATGTTTAGTAAGGATGACTCTTCCGAATCATGCTCCAAAAACTGGCCTGCGTTATACAGGGTGACCAAAATATCATGTCAAAATTGCCAATTGAAAAATTGAAAAATCTCGATTTTTTTAAATGCAACGCCCTGTATATTTTCATACCATGAGATGCAGAATTAAATTCTCTACAACTTTGCTATACCTGCTCCTATACCAAAATTCATTAGTTTTTCATGAAATCTCATTTCTATGAAAAAATGCGAAGTTTACAAATAGCTTATATGTAAAATAACGTAGTAGGCTCCTGTCAAATGATAATCTGGAAAATTTTCGATTCACATAAGGTTTAATAGAAAGAAAGGTTTAATAGAAGAAGAGAAGCCCATGGTAACTGTTTATTGGCAAGTCGTATTTACCAAGCTAATAATCCAGATTTACAAAGATATCCTCGTACAAAGTGTTTTGTAAAACTGAAGGAGAGGTTTGAAAGAACGGCAAATGCAAATTATGAGAAGACAACAAGAACACACGCATGTGGTAATCAGGATAGTCAAATTGACATTTTGGAATGTGCAGTCCAAAATCCATCTACAAGTGTCAGAGAAATTAGTGATGAAATTAGTATTTCCAAAAGTGTGGTTAATAGAACGTTAAAGAAAAACAACTTCCACCCCTATCATTCTGAGCATCACCAATTCTTAACACAGCAAGATTTTCAGAAGCGAGTACAGTTTTGTGAGTGGGCAACTATAAAGCTACAACAAGATGAATTTTTTTTTCAAAGGTGTTATTTACTGACGAGTCATCCTTTGCCAATACTGGTCGAGAGAGTCGACATAATTATCACCATTACGCCGATCATAATCCCAGATTAATAAGACAAGACGATCATCAACACCGCTTTAAAGTCAACGTTTGGGCGGGAATATGCGGAGAATATGTCATTGGACCACATTTTCTTGAAGGAAACTTAACTGGTAATGGGTATTTGCAATTTTTACAAAACGACTTGCTCCAATTGCAGGGACATATTCCTCCGGATGACTTAAACAGTCAGTGGTTCCAACATGATGGTGCCCCTGCACATTCCACACTGGCGGTAAGTTTTCTCATTATGTAAGTTATGTAAATTCATAGAAAAACTGTTTCAGGTTAGAGAATACTTAAATGATTTGTATCCAGATAAGTGGATAGGTAGCCAATTCCATGGCCTCCCCGATCCCCAGACCTGTCTTGTCTTGATTTTTTTTATGGGGCTATATAAAAGACAGGGTGTATGAAACTCCTCCGACAGATGTAGAAGATTTACGGGCAAAGATAAGAAATGCTTTTTTGACCCTAACTCCGGAAATGCTGCGAAATGTGTCAAGCAATTTTCGTCGTAGAATTGCTCAATGTCTATAGAAAAATGGCAGACATTTTGAGCGGTTACCTGTTAATTACTAATTTAACTAGGTCTTTATTACTTTTGTTAGAAATGCACGATGTTAATTTACTGTTTTGGAGACTGCATGCGTGTGTTCTTGTTGTCTTCTCATAATTTGTATTTGTTGTTCTTTCAAACCTCTCCTTCAGTTTTACAAAACACTTTGTACGAGGATATCTTTGTAAATCTGGATTATTAGTTTGGTAAATACGACTTGCCAATAAACAGTTACCATGAGTTTTACTAATTATTCTATTATTTATTTACTAATTCTTCTTTAGAGTAATTCATTTCACAATTATTACTGTCGCTTTTCTATTAAACCTTATGTGAATCGAAAATTTTCCAGATTATCATTTGACAGGAGCCTACTACGTTATTTTACATATAAGCTATTTGTAAACTTCGCATTTTTTCATAGAAATGAGATTTCATGAAAAACTAATGAATTTTGGTATAGGAGCAGGTATAGCAAAGTTGTAGAGAATTTAATTCTGCATCTCATGGTATGAAAATATACAGGGCGTTGCATTTAAAAAAATCGAGATTTTTCAATTTTTCAATTGGCAATTTTGACATGATATTTTGGTCACCCTGTATAACGCAGGCCAGTTTTTGGAGCATGATTCGGAAGAGTCATCCTTACTAAACATCTGATAAAAAAATGGGCTTAGTAGCTATTAGTATAACCTGTCAGTATCAGAAAATGTAAGCAACCAATATCGACTAGAAAAACCTTTCAAGCGAGATATCTCAAAAACTGTGAATATTTGAATAGAACTATTCTACACAAAGTACCCTTTATTTTTGATGTAGAATCCGAAAAAAATATAAAAAATGTGTGTTTCCATTTAAAAAACTAAAGTTGGTGTCTGCCAGGAAAAGTGGAACACCCTGTATAGTTGAATATATTTTTAATTTGTACATTATGAGAAATGTGGCAACACAGTAAAAAGAAAAATCCATATATTCCTCATTTTAACATAGATATTGGACTTTCCCGCACTAGTGGGACACGCTGTATAACGTTAGTTGCACTGTAAACTTTTATTCTGATTCCGATAGATAAAAATTTATTTTTTTTTTATTTAGAATTCCAGAGCTAAATTTTTCAAATGTGGAAAAGTACTACTTTTTAACATAAAATTTTATATAACATCAAATAACGAATGTTAGTGTAAAACAATGTGAAAAATCATAGCCTTGCATTTTATACTACCAAATATACAAATGTTGGTTAATCAAAAAAATATAACAGAACCCTCTGAGGGTTGGAAACTACCTACAGACCAGAATCCCACTTACCCCTTTAAGTAACACATTTTTCTATTCAATATTTTTGCCTGAATTTTTTTACCACGGGTTTTTGGAGTCGTTGATTACGAATCTAAAGTCCGAATCCCAAAATTCCTGAATAAAAGATGGCGGATCCAATATGAGGACGTAAAAATCGGAAACACATTCAAAATTTAAAAATTATAGCTGAAACTTTTTACTGGGTGATTTTCAAAGTCGCCAATCAAGAATATAAGGTTTTTTAATTCGGAAATTCTTAAATCCAAAATGGCGGGCTCATTATGACGTATTGAAAAAATAGGTACCATAAAAATTGATATTTACCACCCAAAGAAATGCGTTATGAATGTTTAAAAAATGGAGCCATTTGAGTAGTTCAACAACAACAACCACGACACCAACGACGACGACAACAACAACAATAACAACAACAACCGGTTTTTGGGTTGCGGATTTGGATTCAGCATAAAAAATACAGAAGGTCTATGTACTTGTGTCTCTGGTACATAACCTTTTTTTGTGGGTCTGTCTTATTATCTCTCACTCTCTAGTTATCTTACGGTGCGTATACATACAATGTAGTCCAACAAAAACCAGTAAACACTAAAATTTTTTTTGGGATTTTTCAGTCACAGTGTAAACTTCTTTTCTTATTTGTATATTCCAGTATTTTTCGCTATACTTGAGATCTATAGGACATAATAAAATTTCATAGGAGTCAAATAATATTTAAAAAATGTGCAACAGAAAATTTAGATATCCTAGAATCATATAAAAGAGGTTGAGAGGAGGAAAACTTGCAATTTTTTTATATATTCTGGTGATATATTACACTAAAATAAATTATAAAGATGCATATCAATTAAGAAACCTACAGCTCAAACCATTTCAAAGTTAAGTAAGGGAAAAGATATTGTTCCATGGCATTGAATAAGACTAAATTGACTTATTTCGATCCAATGAAGTCGTCTTTAAAGACCTGTTACATTAATTATTGTGAAGATTCATCCGTAGGTAATCCATGGCCTGCTGATACTTATTTTGGAAGTTATTTTACGAAAAACTTAACAACGTGGGTAGCCCAAATGCCTGAATCGTAAATCTAAGTTTCTCAAATGTTATCAATTTATAATGCAGAATATATTTTTTTTATATAGAAAGTCTATTAATTTTTTGTTTCAGTTTAAAAAATCTCTCATCGGAAATGTTCGAAAATGGAAAATTGGCCAATTACTGACACTGCTGATTACAAGTAGTGTACATAGTGTACAAGTGCACAAGTACAATAGATGCGCAAAACCTCATTATTAGCTAGCTAATTATAATCAGCAGTCAATTTTTAGGTCATTTTCGGTCATTTTCGATACTCTCTAGATTTTTTTAACTAAAACAGAAACTAAATAAATTTATAAGTTTGTCTTTGCAATTATTTTGCATTACATACATAATTATAAAAGGTGTCCCAANGACAAAACTCTACATTTCTAAGTAGGATTAAGGCAATATTAATAAATTATATATCTAGGATATCACTAGACGAGGAACTCGACATTTTGAAAATAAAATACGTTCGTTCTATTAGATAGTCGGAACACTACTCTTCTAAAATATTAACCGCTGCGCTGGTGCTGCACTGCTAAGTGGGAATACCTACCAAGCTTTTGCATCGCAGCGACGCTATGAAGCGCTGCTGCCGCGCTGCTGCGGCGCTGCTATGTGGGAATTGGCCTTAAATGTGGATAAATACTTACATTTACTGCAAGAACACCATAACCCTTTATTAGAAGACGCCCCTTTAAATATTTGAAATAACATGTGGCTTGTGCCCGATGGTGCACCAGCCCATTTTAGCAGGTCAGTAGGGGCTTATTTAAATACCACATTTCCTGATCGATGGATCGGTCGAGGTAGTCCTTTTCCGTTTATCAAACTTCTATAAATAGTAGAGAAGAATTATTAAATCTTTTAATTACATACGCTGATATCATTAGAAATGATTGCCACATGTTATTTCGAGTTCAGCAGAGGTGTTTGAGTAATTTCAGAAAATGCATTGAAGTTCATGGTGCACATATTCAACATCTTACTTAATAGTTCTCATTTTTCTTTTAATTCTATAGAAACCAAGATTTTTACAAAAGTCACATTTTTGATACAATGTTAATAAAATTCCATTTTCTCAAAAACGGTACAAGATATTGACTGATAGCAAAGTGAGAGAGGAATCGAACTATGAAAGAAAAATGCCAAATATGGTAACGCTGTCAAAGATGTATAAATTTAAATAGATAATTTCGTCTGCTCCTGTATAATCCAGACATATTGAACATCACTTTAAACTTGTAAATGAACATTACCATGAGTTACTTTAATTGCCCAAATTGCATTGTTGTCCTGGTAACAACTTATTGTTAGAAGTTATAATTAAAATTTGTTTTTCAAAATTTTTTCTTTGATATAACAATAACTCCACAACGAAGCCCGAAAGGAATTTTTTTTTTGAAATACTACAACTATTTTGACCTCCCCTGCATTTTTGACATGACCTTTCGGGACACCCTTACATATAATATATTTTTGATATTTTATTGTTGATGTTTATTGTAGCTCTGAGAAACTTGTCTAACTGACCCTCACGTTGTCTGAATAAATTGAATTTATCATTGACCACAAACAGTTGAGCTGTCCCGCTCAGTTAACATTTATTTTGCAAATGATACTTGTTATCATATAGACATGTAGGTCGTTCGCTTCCTTCAAACAACTAGATAATCTAGATTTTGGACAAGATCACCGTATCACACACCGACAATGTTTAAGAATGACTGCAATTGAGGTGAAAGGTGTAAACTGATCTCCAACGGATCATAACTATTACATACATTTTATGTTTAAGTTTACTACATTTCAATTGTTACAAATTACCTAGCCCCAATTTTAATGGTCAATCGTTTCGTAAAAATGAATGAAACAAGTCAGTCATGTGTATATGTACTATGTGCTAATACACTATATGGCTCTGTCCATTAGTGTTGCTTGAATCAGAACAACAGATTTTATAAATACGATTGTGTTCATTTTGAGAGTTTACAAAATATAGAAGCAAGATCGGCATTATTATACAAGTGAACAATCGTTAATTAAGAATTATTATTTTTGTATTGTACAGTCAATTGCGAAATATAAATGAACAAAATCAGATCATCTTGCACAAATGAAAAGCATTTTTGTACTTTTACTGCTTATATTTGCTTTCTAAAAACATTAATTTACAGACCTTATGTTTCATTGGAAATATAAATTGTCTTGAAAGTTATTGACGATACATCACTATCGTTTCTACTAGTACAATTCTTTTCAACTTATCGTAGTTATACATATCATATCTACATCATATGTATTTTCTTATAGCTATGATACCGAAAATGGGATATCCACCCAAGAATCTGGAAACTTAGTGGTGGCTGGTTCAGGTTCCGCTATTGCAGCTGCAGGATCTTACCAGTACACATCCCCCGAAGGAGTACCTGTACAAGTTTCTTACCTTGCTGATACAAATGGATTCCAACCTTCTGGAAACGTATTACCAACCTCTCCACCTATCCCTCCAGCAATACAGAGATCGCTCGACTATATCGCGGTTCATCCCTCATCCCCTTCTGTTGGCACTCCATTTGTCAGAAAATATTATAAGTAGAATGTTCCAAAAGTTATGTTAAGTTAATTACTTAGAAATATATATGGTTGACTCAGAGTTGCTCTTTTCATTTTTAGTTATTAATTACATAACCCCAAGTTCTGTGCCAGAGATATGAGTACATAGATTTTGAGTATTTTTTTTATGCTGAATTCGAATCTGCAGCCCAAAAACTGATCTACGAGAACATTTTTTTAGTAAAACGCTAAAATATCCCCTAAAATAGGGTAAAAAAGTGAGGATAAGTAAAGATTTATAATTAAAATAGTTTGTAAACATTTTGAGAAAACATTTGAAAATATTATTTTGAGCATTGGAAAGAAATATTATTCAACCTAACGCTACGAAGGTGTTAATTTTTACGCATTAGGCGGTTGCGGTCCCGTCCCGTCGCGGACTGTGCTAGTTGCGATCGCGCGCGGTAGATTTCCTTCCCATGTTTTTGAATGTATGCATTCGCATTAGGCTTTCGCGAGCTGGTCGCGGTCGCATCGCGTTTCCTACCGATCTTCTCCAAAGAATCTCGGGAGCAAGGGCGTCGCCAGTCAATGGGCTATGGGGGGCAAGATAAGAGAGAGCATGGGAGAAATATAAATTATAGGTAGAAATATGTATAGTGAATTAATTTTTTATAGAAATATTTTTAATAAAACCTTTTTAATACAAGAAAAACAAAAAAATATATAAATATCTAAAAATATAAAGAAATTCAACGAAAATTATAAAATTTATAAAATTTGCGCGTTACATATATGTATAGCTTTAGATGCACTGTTAAACTTTCATTTTGATTCCGATATTTAAAATTCCAGAGCTAAATTTTTAAAATATGGAAATGTATTACTTTACTTATTACTATATACTTACTTTTAACATAAAATTTTATATTTTTAAATTGTTTTGTCAACTAATTTATTACAATTATTTTTTAAAAAAATAGAGTAGTGTATTAATTATTCAAAATTAAAATTTAAGTAAATAAAATGTTTTATTAAAAATTTCCATTCTAATATTTTCTTAGTTTAAGAAAATTTTTGTACTTTTTTCGAATTTCTAGGGGGGAGGGAGGGCAGCTGCCTTTGGCGATGCCCTTGTGTGAAGACAGATAACTATCATTCAAGTAAGTTGTTAAATGTTTATAGTTTTGATTAATGAAATTCCTCAGTACCTTCTATAGTAATTAATTTAGTTTAAATTTAGGTGTTACTGTAATATTACTAATTGGTGTTAGTTTAACGTACTACACACTTAAGATCTAAATAGAATAAAAAACATTTGCATATGATTTTTATAAACAATGGGATATTTATTATCTCATTTCTCATTCTATTGCTCGGATATTAAAAGAATGGGATCTACAGGGTGTATTTAAATGAAGGGGCACAAATAATACCAGAAATTCCTTAGGTGAAAATAAGTTGATTTAACCTAACATACCTATATGCCAAGTCACATAATAAAAAAGATACAGGGTGTCAGAGTGTGAAATAAAAATCAGTTTTTCCTTAATAATTTCTAACCAAGTTTTACTAGTGAGAGATTTTCTTCAGGGTGGGAAAAATAATATAATAATTATTTCTGGCTGTCGCGTGTGGGGCGCCCTCTACAGACAATGTTATGCATTAATTGCAGAAAGTCATCTTACTGACAGTTTAAGTAACAAAATTGAAATAGCCAACAAGATTCTTTACAATGACAATTCAACTCCAAGTTCTAGTATGCTGTTTCAATGGATCAGTCAGATAATATTGAGCCTCCGGTGACTGAATTGACATTATGAAAAAAATGTGACAATTAGTAAACTCGAGGGAAATAAATAATTATCCAGATTTTATGTTACTAAATGTAATAACTGTACAATTACTATTAATATTCATTCATAATAATTAATAAAATGTAATGTTCTTCAAATATTCTATTTATGTGTTCACAAAATATGCATTTATAACTCGCTTTTTTTCCCAAGGGAGGTAATGTTACCTCACTTACCTCCCGTTGTCCACAGCAACTTCCACTTCTACGGTAAAATCCACTTACCTCCTTAAAAACAATGTATTAATAATCTATGTAATATAGTGGGAGCAGATAAAAGTTTTTTTAAAGGTTAATAAACTACTCATTAATTAACTTCGGATAACCGAATGTTTCCGTATTTATGTCACAACTTTAGCCATAATGTAAGGCATAGTTGAAATGTAACATTGTTATTCAATGTCTAGACTTTCAATCAACTAACTGGCAGAGAGCGACCTGTTACTTTGCACGTATTTACTCTATGAGTGCTAGAATATTTTCGCATTGGGCGAAACAAATTTTAAATATTGATATTGCTGGAAACAACTACTCTGCGGACTGATATCCTGACCATTATTGAATTACACCTGCAATATCTGGTAAACAGTTAGGGCCATTCGTCAGCTGGGCCATCAGATATATACCGCTATCAAACTTATTAGATTGGCAGAGAGCGTCCTGCTATTTCGCAAAAATGTGAAAGCAAAACCTGAGTTGTCACTAGGTGAAATAATTTTTTATATAGTTCAGTGCTAGCCGAGACATTAGTTCGCAGAGTAGGTATTTCCCGCAGTATCATCAAGTTAAAAATTTAGCACATCTCCTGCTTTTGCAAGCATGGTTGATGATCGTATGTTCCTGTGGATTGAGGAACCCAATCTCATTCAGTGCCAGTGGCGGCGCGTGAACATTGATTGAATGTGTTCTGCTTAGGGTTGTTACATTTGTTGAATTGAATTTCGGAATATTAAGTGGCCGGAGAGTCTCTAAATGGCGCCGCAGGCGAAAAATTTTAAAATTTTCAAGGTCACGCGTTTTCCTGGCACTTCTGAATTCCAAGGAACAATCCATTTATCTAAAAATACAGATTTTCACAAGAACGAATTTTGAAATTGATACCTTTTTGAAATATCTATTCATGAATTACCTACTGACGGTATAAATAAATTGGAATAAACTAAATATATTTTGTCAGCCCTCGTATACAGTTTTTAGTAATAAAATATGAAATGTTCGATTTTTTTTATCAAAAAGTGGTATACTTATTGAAAATGGCTAAAGTCAACCGTTGGAGAGATATTTCTGATGTTATAAATTTGTATTTCGGATTTCATACCACCAGGAATATTGAAGTCCAAAACGGACATTTTTGCAGAACTCATTACCTCACAGCATTTACACTTAGTACTGGTATTTGTGTGACAAAATTGTGTTCATTTTAAAATTGTGAAGTTAATATTTATAGTAAATTATCCAATAGGTAATTTTCGAGAAATCGAATAAAGAAATAAGAAATGAAAAAGAGAGGTTCATCATATACTGGTTTTATGTTTAGCAAAATATTATGTAATTCAGTTTATTAGTAGTACTACCAAAATAACGAAGAACTAGTTAATTATGTCGCCAATAATAATTTTTTTTAGATGTCGAATATTTATACCTATCTTCCGTCTATATTCAATTCTATATATAATGGCTTTTTGAGCTTGAGATCTCAATTTAAAATAGTTAAAAGTTTGAAGGTCATAAATATAAAGTTTCAATTGCATTGCAAAAACAAATAATTACCTATACGATGATTTTATCAAGAATTACATTTTCTTACATATTTGTCCCTGGTTTGGACCCAACCCTGTGTATTTACCATGCACCTATTTAAATCGTAACACTAAGCTTAAGTAGAAAACAAAATATATGATTCCTTGTGGAAATTAATATTATGAAATCCATCGCCCACAAGAAATTTCCACAAAATTATAGGGTGTCCGGAAAGGTCATGTCAAAAATGAAGGGGTGTACAGAGGAGCTCAAAATAATTGTAGTACTTCATAAAAATTTTTTTCCTATCGGGCTTCGTTGTGGAGTTATTCGCCTTCAAAGAAAGACGTTTGAAAAACAAATTCAGTTATAACTTACCACGACAACAATGACATTTCGGCAATTAAAGTAACTCATGGTAATGTTCTTTTCCGAGTTTAAACTGATATTCAATAAGCCTGAATTATACAGGAGCAGACAAAATGATCCACTTAAATTTATACATCTTTGACAGTATTGCCAAATTTG